ATGTCAGTCGGTTAGGCTTAAGTACTTGAGCGTTCTGAGTAGTCTCCTCTACTATTGTACCTTTCGCGGTCGAATCTTTTTCTCCCCAGAAACATTCCGTCCACAAGTTAACAAAAATCGATACACATGACACTGTTTTCATGGGCCTAATGGTGCTACTTTCGGAAAACTGACGTAACCAACACACTTAAAAGCTCCGCAGCTCCGTAAGTCCAAATCTATTTCCATAAACAAATAAGTAATTGTTGCACTGTCTGGAAAGGTTGCTACTCTTCACTGGCGTAACATGCGCTGACTTGGTAAACCGACCATCTATAGCCTCAAATTTAATCATGACCATCTCGTGTACGAGGAAGCTTGTACACATAATCTAAAGTAATATTGTTTCCACTTCCACTGCGAAACAGAAAATAGCTGTCTCAATCCAAAGGTTTCTTTCTTTTTGCTTCAATCTGCTGACCAATAATACACAAACTTACATACTCCGTAATTTTTCTTTTCATGCCCGGCCAATAGAAAAATTGTCGAATGGTATGATACATTTTAATACTTTCAGGATGCGTTGCATAAGCTGAATAGTGCTCTTTGTCCAAAATTGCTTTCTTTGATTCCACGTCATTAGGCACATACGTCTTGTTTTCTTGCATAAACATGTCATCCGATTCTCGAATTCTGAAATCTTTCTTTTTCCCGTTATTCCTTGCTTTAAATTGAATTTCTTCGTCAAACGCTTGAGTCTCGAGTACGATTTACCAAAAAAGCCTAACTTGAAAATTAGCAAGTACGGCTTATTCCCGATCTTCCATTCTCAACTTTATTCCAGTAGGTCTCAAATCCACAAGAAGATGAACATGGCAAACATACCAGGCATTAATCCTCACTGCAGTCTTCTTATCAAGTGCATCAGCTATAAAAATTTCACGATCACCCTGGTCATGCAATCATAAACACTAAGCAACTCAATCCACCTTCGTTGTCTAAGATTAAAATCCCTCTGTGTAAACAGATACTAAAGACTCTTATAATCCATAACAATCTTGTATTTCTCACCATAGCGGTAATGTCTCCATAACTTCAAAGTAAGGATGATAGTGCAAATTCTAACTTATGAGTAGAGTAAATTATCTCATGAGGTTTCAATTTGTCGCGGAGCATAGGCAATTACCCTAACACTTTTGCCTTAACACATCCAATACCATTCAAAGAAGCATCATTAAAGACCTCATAATTACCGTTAACGTCTTGAAGTGCTAAAACATACGCATGAGTGAGGAAATACTGCAACTATTGGAAACTTTACTCACAATTTCCTTCCCACTCACACATAACCTCTTTCCTTATCAAACTCGTCAATGGCAAGGTAATAACTGAAAAACCCTCAACAAACCATCTATAACACCCTACTAAGCCAAGAAAATTTCAAACTTCAGCCACGGTTCACGGTTGTTCCAATTTCTCCAATTCTGCTACATTTTAAGATTTCAATTGAGTACCTTAAGCAGATATAACATAACTCAGAAATGCTACATGACTCACCCAACATTAGCATTTGCTAAACTTAGCATACATCGACGTTCCTTCAATCTTTGTAATACCAATTTAAGATGTCCGATATGTTCTGATCAAGTCTTAACAATCTCGTGAAAGCAGCAGGCGCATTCGTCAGTCCGAATAGCATCACTAAAACTCATAATGACCATAACGAGTCCTGAAAACAATCTTAGGAACATCGTCACTCAATCTCCAATTGGTAATAACCAGACCTCAAATCCATCTTAGGAAATACGCAGGCACCTCCAAATCGATTGACAAATCATCCATGCGTGGCAATAGATAATCGTTCTCAAAATTTGCCCGATTCAGTTTCCTATAATTAATGTATAGTCTTAACGTTCATTTTCTTCCTCCTTACAAACAAAACTGGGGTCCTCCAAAGCAACAAACTATGTTGAATGGAACCTTTATCAATCAATTCTTGTAACTGAACTTGTTCAATTCCCTTAACTCAGAAGACATCAATCTATAATATAAGGTCCGTACCTGGAGACAAATTAATAATGAACTCCACATCTCCGCCTGATGGTAATCCAGGAAATTCCTCAGGGAAAACATCAAGAAAATGTCCAACCACCTTGACATCCTTCACACTACTCAGAGCAACATCTCTTAGTACTGCATGAGCTAAATATCCTTGGCAGCCTTTCGATAACAATCTATTTGCTCTCCCAGCAACTAACGACATGCCTCGCTCCACTTTGCATACCTACAAAAGTAAACTCCAGTCAATCAGATCAATGGAAAGTAACTAGTTTCTCGTAGCAATCTATGATGGCACGATTTAATGCTACTAATATGTGCCTAAAATCACATCCAAATCTCCAACGAAATAAGATTCACTGGCATAACTATATTTTCGACCATCACTGAACACTCTTAATAACACCAAACTCATGTAGGGTAACCTACCTGTTTACTTGCTTAACGGATCCAACGAATAAGTTATTAATATTACGGTCTGCAGCCCACAATATTAATAAATTATCGTTGTCTCGGTAAGTAAGCAACAATTCCAAAGGGTGCAACATTACCATCTTACTCCTCACAGGGAAAAATACATATTCACGCCTCGATCGTGCTCATTCGCTACTTTCCTTGGCAACATCATCCATAATAAGATACATATCAGCCGGAGTCAGCTAGAATGACCTGTACGGCTGATTCTCAAGCTCAACCATCCATGCTAGCGATTAAGTCGGAGTCACCTATAGTGACCTGTACAACTTACTCAACAACTATCCAAATAATATGTCAGCCGGATCCACCTCTTATGGCCTGTACAGCTGAACATATAACTCATCTATCCATGTACCCACGGTCAATCTGACCAAAACTACTAAGTCCGTAAACCTGCTGGATCGATACTGTGGTGTCAGGGAAAACTGCTGGTTAACAACTGATTCTAGGGGCAACACATAACTCTATGTTCCACCTGTCCACATGACACATTCATTGATTCCCACTCTCCAAGTGTCTAATATTGTTCCTGCTGTACAAAGGTACATTTCCCTTATTCAAATCACCTTGTCTCTGAGATCTGGGATCACCAATAAATCTATCACTTCACCTCTGACCAGTGGCATTAAAACCTCAGCTGGGAGAATTCGCTCTAGCTTCACTTATGGAACTCTGAATCTTTCGAGGTCCTTGATATGACGGATCATCATCTTTATCGTCTTTCTTCTAATTCCCATTTTTTTTCTTATTCCTCTTTACTCTAGCTGATCATATTCTCAGAATCCTCAATTTTCAACAACATCTCGTAAACTCTTGATAATCAGTACAATGGATAGTGGTCCCCAAAAATGCCACTTCTTCTTATTACCCAGCCTAAAACAACATAACAACTCAACCAAATTAGCAACAATATCCGAATGGAAACGAGGCAAGTCTGAAAACTTTCTATAATACTCATTTGTTGTCATCTTCCTTGTTTCACATTTGCAAACTCTTGCTTACTACCATCATAATATGTCGGAGGAATAAATCTTTTCTTTAACAATTCCTTAAACAATTCTCAATCGGTTGTTTCCTCCGGTGACAACGAATAATACTCCTGTTTCCACCAGGATACAAATTCATAACCCACAACCAGGTAGTCGTCTCGACCCACCTGTCAGAAGGAAGATTCCTTTAACTTGCATAATCCAAAACGTCTTTTCCAAGTGAGTAAGCCAACACTCTGCTCCCTCAGGTTCATAATTCCATAAAGTGATTCAAATTCAACTTATAACCAGTCTCAAAGGGTTTCTTAGATAATAGACTGAATCACAATAGCAATAGTTTCCCCTAAACTGCTAAATTAGGGAAACTAAGCTCATCTAAATGGCGTGGCTCCCTACGAGGTGGTATAGTTCTGACAGAAGACACTAGGGAATTCTCAAGATGTCCAGGATTGCAACCTAGGGCTCTGACTGACACACCTCGTCCCGAAGGAGGGTATGTTGGCCATCACGTGAGAGTGACGTAACCATTTACACGGTTCGGAAGCTTTAAAGACATAAATACTAATGTATAATACCCGAAAGTGAAACCTACGTTTTTGAAATTCTGTCAGAACACCGTTGGATTCCTCGTGGCCACCAAAGCTCTGCTCTGTCTCGAACCTGGAGGAGCGAAAAACAAAGTTGAGTGGGTCAGTAAAACCAATCTTTTCAAGACAAAACATTTCTCAAAACGTTGTAACCCCTCTCCGTAAAACTTGTACTTTCCCAGAAAAATAGCATATGTACAAATATACTTTCATAAATCTCAAAACTCATTTCTTTAACACTTTTCGGAAAAAAATATGCCATGCCATGCCAAACTATAATATGAATGCATCAATATAAATCAGGTGAAAAATAAATCAACCGGAGATCCTACAATGGTCCTGTACGGCTGAAACTATAGCTCAAAATCTCATCCAGCCGGAGTCACCAACTGTGACCTGTACTGCCCTGCCGGAGTCACCAACTGTGACCTATACGGCGCTACACTGCACATAAGTCGGAACTACCTAAAGTAGTCTGTACGACTATAATGGTGTAATAATACGCTCTAGTGCTTCTCTCATCAATCATTTGTGCACGTAATCTAAGGTCACCCACCAGTCGGAACCACTCTAATGGTCTGTACGACTGGCATGTCGGAACCACCTCTAGTGGTCTGTACGACATCCACCTACTTGGATCCAAGGCGAGCGTGCGGTGTGGTGAATAATATAAGCACTAACACCTAGGGTGCAGGTTATGAGCTTCCAATGCAATTCACATAAAATAAATCGTCTGAATAATGTAAAGACTCACCTGTGCGTCCACCGCGTCAATTCACATATATATGCATCAATTATCAATTTAAATATCTCAACAATTGCATGCATGGCAATTTAAATCATATTTTCATATAAACGTATTTTATGGGAAAACAGTAGTATATAGGTAATACGAAAACAAAACTGCCCACACACAGATATGTCGAAGGGTCGTAGCCCCCGAGCCTCCCTTAACTTTGCTCATCGTCCGCATAAGCCTCGCCTATATGAGAAGTAACCGAAATAACGTTATTTAAGCACATAATCAAAACCTTGGAAATAACTTCTCATACGTTGCTCAATTTGGGTATATGAATATACCACAGTGATTACTCAACCTCACGAACAACCCCATAATTTTAGAAAAATTTTCCGACCACCCACGCGCCGCCACGCGCCGGCGAGTGCACGGCAAGACGCGCCGCCACGCGCGAGGAACCCTAACGGTAACAGTAACGGCAGTTAGGGAATATTCCGTTAAAAATCAGAATATACCGTTTAATATAACTGACGCCGTTAGCATATTCCGTCAGACTTGACGGAGTATACTCCTCCTTCTTCCTTGGTTCGCCGGAGACCGTCGCCGGTGCCGCTGCAACTCGCCGGTTTCTGGAAATTTTCCAGGCTTCGTATTTCAGTCAATTCTTAACCATTTTTCATGAAATCTTCACCAAAATGAAGCTTACAACATAAGAAACAAAACTTTACCAAGATTTGGACCTAAAACCTTCGAGAATTTGCCAGAGATCCTTCGATAATTCCGGCCAAACCGTGATGCTTCGATCTCGGTCTCCAGACGTCTAAATCACCTCATTCTTCCTCTCCGAGCTTCGTGGAGAGGTCCTTAAGCTCCCTATGAGCTCCAAATACCTTGAAACCTTTAATTCCACGAGCACATGAACAGTACCAAATATTGGGTTCTTTGGTTCTACACAATCCCGACGTCCAAACTTCGTGAAAATGGTACTCCGAGCATCATGAGGGTGATCTAAAGCTTCCCATAAGCTCAGAATCAACTGAAACCCCCACGATCACAAGAGTATAAGCAGTGCCTTCTTCGGGGTGCCTGGGTTCTCGGGTTTTCAACGGTTTCACGTCCAACAATTGGTATGGTTGAGTTCGCGATGACGAGAGGAAGGAGATGGTACTAATCACAAGCTCGATCTGTGCATAAATGGGTTGGTTTGAGGTTCGTCCGTACGTTTGTACGGACGTTGCAGAAAATCGAAAGGGAGAGGAGAGAGAAAAGGTCAACGGGTGGGTGAATGTGTGGTCCGTGCGTGATCCAGCCAACCAAGGCAAAACAACAACAAAAATAATTCAAGTCTACGTCCCTAATTGGTTCCGAAATATTAGGGACTTAACCTATTTGTCCACATTCACAACTTAAGCCATACAACGCCACAACAAAATTCATTAACCCAAGGGCAAAATCGTCTTTTCACGCCATTAGAAAATAAAATATTCCAATATTTTGGGACGGGCTGTTACAAGTTCGGTATAACATTTTAGTTTTATCCTAATATTTAAAAGGGAAAATTAGATTCATATCTTTCTTTTTGTTACTCCATTGATTAAAATCCTATTCATTTTGAATTTTTGATCAAGGTCCTTGGGTATTAATAACATCATTAATTATTTAAATAATAAAATATTTTTATTTTTAAATATATTCCTTTAGTGTTAAAAATGTTACAATTGGTATATTTATATTTATGGCTAAATTTTTTAGTATATATATTTATTTTTAGTTTGTACCTATTTTTAATTTGCAAATATTTTTTAATTTGTACCAATTTTCTTTTCTTTTTTAATTTGTACCCATATATTAGTTTCTTTTTGTGCCCATATTTTTTAAAGTTTTATTTGTGTTTGTACCCATGTGTATATCGTCATGTGACATTGTATATTTAATCAATGATAGAAAAATTACATATGGTATATTTATGTTTTATGCCTAAACTTTGTATCATATATTTATATTTTTAGTTTGTACCCACTTTTAATTTGCAACTTTTTTTTTTAATTTGTAGTATTTTCTTTCTAGTTTTATTTTGTACCCATGTATTAATTTCTTTTAGCGCCTATATTTTTAAAAATTCATTTGTACTCATAATTTTTAATCTTTTATATGTACCCTAATTTATTTATAATGTATCCATTCTTCTTTATTAATGTACAATTTTGTTATATGTGAAATGTACCCTTTTTTTTTGTAAAATGTACCCTTTTTTTAACACTATGGATACATTCTTTTGCCATTTATTATTTCTTATTTTTACATAGTTTTTATCCATTTATTCAATCAAAATGTTTGAATTTTTTTATTGTAACCGTTTCTAATAATATTATAATGAGGGATTTTAAATTTATAGGATTATAAATCTCATAAAATATCAAACAATTAATGTCAAAACTATAAAACTATAAATATTAATAGTAATATAATGAGGTGTACAAAGTCAAGGGACTTTGATCAAACTTTGAATATTATTAAGGTTTTAATAAAAAAAATGTTAAGAATTAATAATCACATCCAAAATATCCTCTTTTTTCATCTCTTTGTAGAGTCCAATTATTGACGCAACCAATCAAATACTTAAAACACCCAACATTTATTATATATTGCCTCACCTTTATTGAAGAATTATAAAAATAAATTTGACAGCTACTGTCAAATTCTATGTGACAGTTTTGACATCACTTTTAGAGATGCTCAATAAAAAGAAATTATTAAAAAATAGACAAATTAAAAAGGTACACCTTTCTTTGTAGTTTAATATTTTTATAGTGTAATTTGTACCACGTTTGTCTTAAGTAGGGAAGTGTCCTTACACTTTAGCAAAAGAACTTTGGAAAGAGGGGCGGAATGCCGTTAACCTAAAGTACGAAATGATACGTGATTAAAAAATGATAGGGAAAGGCACCTCAATGTCCCTATCCAAAGTTTGGACAAACATTAATGAGATAAGAAATTTTCTTGTAACACATTATCAAATGTTGGGAATTGGATGAAAGCATCCTATTCCATCCCCATACACTTTTAATGCCTGGTTTGGCCCACTTTCTACTATCTTTTGAGCTGCCGCTCCTCCACCTGGCCATTTTCTTTTATACAATAATATATTTATATTAAATTTGAAAAATAAGAGTTAGTTTGAAAATGCTTTTAAAATAACTAAAAGTGTTTTTTGTGAAAATATTTTGGGAACCCGTTCTTAGTAAAAATGCAAGTAAATCCTGGAAAATCATTTAAAGTGTTTCCTCGAACAAGCACATAACTAGTGTTTCTTGCATAAATGACTAAAAACAATTTCAATCATTTTAAAGGTACTTTCAAATGAGTTCTAAATTGGTAACGAACTCAACATCTACGAGATTTGAACCAAAAACTCTCACTTACAAATAAAGAAAAATAGCATTACACTAAGTGACAACATTCCTAAACTAGAAGAAAGTTTGTATCCTAAATTTGTAAACTAAATTTTGTAAACTTTTTTTTTTGTTGGACTAGATTTTGTAAACTAAATGACATGAAAGTTGATGGTTCAATTATTACTTAAGTGTTAATTAAATTAATGTGCTTATTTCTTATTGTTGACACATCATTTAGTTTTCAAATTTAGTCTCCCTAGCATTACCCAACGTTTATTAGACCATCTTGAGGGGATGACATTTGGAAGGCAAAACTAAAGAGCTACTCCTAAAATTTTTGCAATTCATGTCTCTATATGTAAATGAGAGGAGCTTGTTGCTTATGATTGAGAAGGAGTTCCTCCTCAATTCACTTTAAGGCTTTTTTTTTTCAATGCTCTCTGAAACTGAAACTTAATTTCATTTCCTTCGTGGAACAAAAGTATTGCCGCTTTATACTCTTGAACTCAATTTGTGTTCCACTTTTTAGCGGTGTTCTGTCTATTCCATCAAATTTGTTGACGCGCGTCCATATGGCAAAAATGAGATGGGTATATCTGTCAAATTCTATTGTAATTTATTAATTTAAAAAAAATGAATGAGTGATGTTATTCCCACCTCGATGTCTTATCTTCCTACTCACCTTTGAATGAATTTTCTAATTTCAAATGACTGATATGGACATTAATTATCTTCTTTTGTGTTATTTATTTTATAACAAACAGTTGGGCATGATAACTCCCACGCTCCGTCTAAAGACGATTTGTTTACCTTAAACCGCAACTCATCTTTCCATCTCCTTTCCTTCAAAGAAAGCAACAACAACAACAAAATAATAATAATGGACTCATAAGATAACTATTTCATTGAAGAGGTAAAAGTTGACGCTTCTATGGAAGAGGTTGAAGATTATATTTCTATTGAAGAGGTAGAAGAATAATTTTGGGTGTTGGTCATTTGAATTTGCTGCATTGTACATTTGAATTTGTCGTTGTCGAAGTTTTTCTTTTAAATTTGGATACCTTTGTGGTTTTCCATTTGGATTTGCATACCTTGGTGGCTTTGAATTTATATTTGATTTTGCCTACTATATTACGATTAGTATTAGTACATATTTTTGCCATCAAACTTTTTAATTTGAATTCGCATACTTATGTTCCTGTACGGTATTTGTACTGTACCATACTGTTTCGGTACTGTACTGGTATTCAAAACCAGTATTGGTGGTATACCATACCTACCAACTTTAATTCTTATTCTAAATCTTATTATATATATATATATATATATATATATATATGTATTTTGTAATGTAGGCTTGACACAAGCTCAACCTCAATCTTCTACAAGTTCAATGTCTCCTCCAAATGCATCTATATCTCAAAGCTTGAAGAATTGATCAATGCATTTTTACTTTTTAAAGTTTTAAGTTGATTTAGTTTGAAATGTTAACTACTATTCGAATTTTCAATTTTCATTTAGTTTGTACACTTAACTTCTATTTGATTTGGCTTGTAACTTCTATGGATTGGAAACGTGTGTTATAGTTATACTGTGGATCTCACATGTCATGGTAAGTAGCAGAAGTAGCTCTGCAACAGTATTATTATGCTTATTTTTTGCAAAGTGCAGCAAAAGAAACATTGATGATGATGTGTAGCTGAATTATTTAGTGAGTAGTACTAGGGTAGCTTTGTAGCTTTTGTTTACATTTATATAACTGGATATATGTCGAAGCTCGAGGTTGAAGATACGGCTGCATGCTGCTGTTCGTTGATCAGCAGCAGTAGCAGTTTTGTGAGTTTTGTGTTAATCTCACTTGAAACTGTAAAGCTTTATTAACATGTTTATGTTTTCGTGGTTTTCATTGACTTGTAAAGACCAATACATTAACTGTGTATATTTTTTGGGCCTTGAATTAGGTTAGAAAAATATTAGATTTTGGCCAAACTAAGTGACCTAAAATAAAGTGGCAATTACCATTGGTATACCATACTAACCAAACTATTTGGTATACCGAAAGTTTGTACGGTAATAGTAATAGATTTTGCATACCAAATATTTGGTACGGTAATCGGTACAGAGGTTTTGGTAAGGTAATCGTACCAAAACCACCCATATATATAAGGTTATTTGGGAATAAAAGTGGGTGGGGAAATAACTTTTTAGTTTTTTTACTCTCTAAGGTGAGTGAAATTATAAGGTGGGTGAAAAAATAAGACAATGAAGTGGGTCTAGCAGCTCTCAAATGAAAAATGAACTGGGTTTGTTGATATGCAAATATGTAGGATGTTTTTACAGTCGACAGAATCATAATGTATCAGGGACTCGAACTATGAAATAAAATCTTTTTGTAAGACCATCTCCAAATCTAA